TGTCCTTGTCTCTGTATAGTTTCAGGCATGATCACAAAATAGTCTTGTTCTGTCTTATTCCATCGTGGTCAAAGAATGGCCTTGTCTGAGTATTGTTTATATGCTGTGAAAACTGTTTATGTACATTCAGGAACACTACAGCTGCCAGCTGTTGGGGCCACTTTTTACTTTCTTACACAGAATCATAGGCAAATAATTCTCTTAAGCCTCTAGGTTTTGGGGTGGTTTTTAATTCAGAAATATATAACTAATATGAGCTCTTTGTAATGCCTAAAGTGCTGTGCAGGCTTTCTGATCCCTTCTGGGGTTATATATGTAGAAAGCCCTGACTTCATGGGCTCAAAATAGAGGAAGTAGCAGAATGTGAGGAAGTTAACCAGGACCAGCTGAGGACAAGGAGCAGGTGGGGACTTCAGAGGCCCGAGGTGGCCACATACATGCAGCAGACAGGGCTGGTTTAATCATCTCCTGCTTGAGTCTGATGCTGCCTCTTTCAGATACTGCTTCCCAGGACCAGACCATCATGTTCCATCTTTCCTAGGCCCTCCCCATCCAGGATCCACTCCTGGCTTGAAGGGTAGCAGGGCAAGGGCAGGTTCCCCAGGACCTTTTCTCAGCTAACATCTCTCACAGGCACATGAAAGCCTCTGGTGGTCTATGCATGAACAATCTATTCTGTTCACAGACCCTTCTGTGGGTTCAGCCATCATAAACAATATTGGAGCCTATTTTATATTTGGTAGAAAGATATACCTGCCCTTGCTCTGGGTACCAGAGGTATTGACCCATTTCAAGAAGGTGTGACAGAGGAGTCATAATGCTTGGTTATTGTTTCACCTCTTGAATGACCAATAACCCAAGAGTGAACTCTTCTGCTTTTTGACCAGGTACTTTTAGCTTAAATCACTGGCAGTCAGGCTCTGGTCATAAATCTCCTGAGGACAGGTCACGCTTCTTGCAGTTACTTCTTCTCTAGCCAAAACCTTCAGTGAAGTTCAGGGAAGAAAGAAGGACAGTAAATCTTATTTTCCTCTTACAAATACTCTATAGGCTAGTCCCCACTGACAGCTTAAAAACTGACTCAAACCTGATCAACTTCTGGGAGGTACTCTTTCACTCAGCTACAAGAATGTGTTTTTCCATTCACCCTCAAAGCCAGAGGCAGCCACTTTATCTGTCAGAGTCTACCACAGTTGGGTACAGAAAGATCCAGATGACTGAAAAGTAACCATTCATACTGGCTTCACAGAAAGGAAGAAAGTAAATCCCCAGTGGGAACACTGGGACATTTGTCTTGGTTCAGTAGGTCCTTGAAAGAACATGAGAAGCCCTTTCTTCATTTGAGGGTGTTGAATTGCATTTTATATGAAAATTTACCATTCCAATCACAGGGGATTTTTGAATTTCAGTGAATCCTCCCTTCCTTCCTTCTTGCTCTGTCGAACCAGCGAAGAGCCAAACATTGGCTAATTGCAGAGCAGTGTCAACTCAACCACAGAAACCTGGATCATCCACTCTTGGCTACGCAGTTTGCCAGACAATGTCAATGTTAAGATAGGAAAGGATTCCATACTTTGAAGTCACAATCACTCAGCAATGATTCCACCCACTTCTACCCATGATGAAGGGCCATTGGCCAGATTCCTGGCTCTGTATACCTCTGGCTGTCACATAATAGTTTTGTATCTCAGTGCCTTTGTTTGTGTCAATAGAATGTGTTTCTACCCATCTCACAGGATTGTTAGGAGGAAAGTACAAAATTTCTTTGAGGGGTATAAAATGATAAACTTATGTTCTGTGAAATTTTATACATTTATTTAATGTGTTATTCCATGACATCTCACCATAATTCTATCACAGTAGGATAAATGGCAGCAGCCAAAACACATCCTCCCCACAAATAACAAGAATAGTTTGTGAGCTCCCCAAGGCTAAGAGCCATGTCCACTCATCCGTATATCCACTGTGACACACATCACCCAAGGAAATATCCCTAGGATAGGTGTGTTGAATAGATAGATGGAACACTGGATGAATGGATGGATGGATGGATGGATGGATGGATGGGTGGGTGGGTGGGTGGGTGGTAGATGAATAGATATGGTGGATGATCGAATGGATGGATGCAGGACCAAGATGGTATGCAACAGCATGGGCATTCGGGTTGTCGAAACATTAAAATACTTCCACATTGGTTGGTAAATATGTCGCTCCCTGAGCTCTTCAAGTGCTTCCTGTTGTCCTGACTACCTTGATCCTCCTCCTCCCACAAAGCCCCCAGTCCTTTCCACAATGGCAACTGTACCGTTATCATCTGGCACAGAATTCCGTGCTGATAGGAAATCTAAGTGGTTGATTCCAGTGGACCCACTTAATTGTGAAATATTTTGAACGTCCCTCTTGCTTGGATGGGTGACCATTTCATTACTGGGCTAGTTTTAGGCCACCGGCCCTAGGACGAGGCTCTTAATAAATCCTATGAATGAGATTTAAATTTGTTGTCAGTATCTCCTAGCTCATAGGATTCAACTCCATCATAACCGGAGGTCCTCTAAGGTTTTAATCTTTGTTGTTGACTTTCTTTTCTTCACCACCCTCCAAAATTTCCAAATAGTGATTTGCCACATGTGGGGCTGGGACTTTTCCCTCAAGTAATTCCTGATTACATTAACTCACTTTCTTAATAGCATGGGTTTGGAGCATTTCTTATTAATTAACTTCCCCAGCTTTATTGAGATATGACTGACATACAACTTTGTATAAGTTTAAGGAAACAATATGATGATTTGATACGTGTATATATTGCAAAATGATTACCACAATAAGGTCAGTTAGCACCTCCACCTCTCACATGATTACCTTTTGTGTGTGTTGTGAGAACATTTAAGATCTATCAGCAACTTTCAAGTATGTAATACAGTACTGTTACTGTATTACTGTATAACCACACTGTTACTATGGTTACCATGTCGGTACATTAGATCCCCAGGACTTACTCATCTTAAAACTGGAAGTTTGTACCCTTTGACCATCTCCCATTCTCCCCCATCCCCACCCCTGGCAACCATCATTCTACTCTCCGTTTCTATGTAAATTACTTTCTTAGTAGCACGTGTATGGAGGATTTCTATTCTAAATAGTTACTTATTATATTAACTCAGTTTCTTAATAGCATAGGTTTTGGGGAGAAATGCTGGCTAAGTGTCATGACCAATGGGTTCATCTAGAATACGCCTTCATTAAACCCTGGAAGAACTTGTGACAGCTGTATAAATTTACCTCTCCAGGCAGAGCTCACGTCACGTTTTGAAAGAGATGTTGGTCTCACACAGGCCATGATCCAGCCATGTTGCTGATGCCTCGTTATGTGTCTCTCAGCTCCTCCACTGGGGACTACCACTTGGAATTTAGGGACTGCTGCCCTCCACCTACACTATGGTCACCATGCATGGCTTTGGTGGGATGGAGCCCCCCTCCCCCCACTCCACTCAGTTCCCTGCAACAATCTTTGGGCAGTAATGCTCACCACTCCCAACACACACACACTTCCCAATAATGAATAATAATCTCCAGAAGAAAACAGTGTAGCAATAGGAAGGCAGAAAGTGGGGCTTCCCAGGTGGCGCAGTGGTTAAGAATCCACCTGCCGATGCAGGGGACACGGGTTTGGGCCCTGGTCCGGGAAGATCCCACATGCCGTGGAGCAACTAAGCCCGTGCACCACAGTTACTGAGCCTGTGCTCTAGAGCCCGCGAGCCACAACTACTGAGCCTACGCAGCACAACTACTGAAGCCCACATGCCTAGAGCCCGTGCTCTGCAACAAGAGAAGCCACCGCAATGAGAAGCCCGTGCACCGTGCTCGCCTCAACTAGAGAAAGCCCACGTGCAGCAATGAAGAACTAATGCAGCCAAAAATAAATAAATAAAATAAATTAATTAAAAAAATAATAAAAAGAAAGGCAGAAAGTGTTTCCCATGGACCTCTTCATTAACGTGCTGAGCATCAGCTGAGCCATTTGGTCCACTCTCTTCTGTCCAGACCATGCCCAGAGTACAAAGGAAGGGGCTCTTTCTCACTGCTTATCAAACAGCTGAGAGATTTAGTTTTCAAACTCTGGGGCAGGGCCTTGAAATATAAGTTCTTTCCCTTGGGCCAGAGTGGAGTTCTTAGGTGGCCCCTCTCACCCCTCCCCTCCTCAAGGAGGCAGAAGTGTTAACCTTCTCAGAGTATTGGCCTCAGGGTTAGAGGGCAGGAAAAGGACTCTTCCAGCCCCAGTTTTTCTCTGTCTGCTGCACGTCACTTCCTTAGAAGTAAAGGATGCATTATCTACTATTTGGAAAAGTTTTATCAAAGGGAAGTTGTTCTAAGAAACATAATAGTTAGCATCTAGAATGTGCACTTCACAGCTGGGCCAGGCGATGAAATGGATCAGTGGCTTCTGCATTTTGAAAAGAGAAAAACATAGTGGCTGTCATCCTTCAACAGCGAGTATATCGAATGATATTTTGTAATTAATCCTACTCCTCTGAGACAAAGAATAAAAGATCTGGAATAGCTCAGTTCCCTCCATCCGAGCATAAGGAAAGAAGCATTGCGGTAATATCAGGACTGCCACCTTCAACAGCACCTGCCAGATTTTAAGAGGAGATTTTCTTCTGCCAACATCATTCTCCTCTCCCCCACTGCTAGAGAACTGGCTGAATTTCCCCTTCTCATGTAGCATCTTTTTTTGATAAAGTATAACAACTATAGTAACACATTAGAAGAAATAAATATCACACAGAGGAAAGGCTTCAGTGTTTGCTGAAGGTACCAACTGCACCGGTCTCCAGGGTTACTGGGTTGATTTGCATCAGACTCCTGTTCTCTTCTCCACCACCCCATCCCTTCCCTGCTTCCTGGAGACCCTGTGAGACAAAGTCCCCATCGTAGCAAATGGCATTTGCACATTTCTACACAGGACTCCCCCCCCCCCCCCCCCCCCCACAGCAACTCACAGCTCTTGCTGCCGGCGCCTGGTTGGACGCATCCACGTGTTTCCAGGCAGCTCATGCCCAGTGAACTGAAGCTTTGAGCCATGACCTCAGCAGGAAGGACTTGCAGCCTAGCTCCCAGCCAGGTTGCAGTCATCCGGGAATAAGAACTGTGTTGCTGCAGATGTTCATCTGACCCTCTTGTGCAGGAGCTGAGGGTCTGGGGAAAAAGAGGGGGATAGTCCCACAGTCTGAGTGGAGGGTCGCATCACTGATGCTCAGAGCTTTCCTCACTAACAGGTAACTTCTATAATCATAACAAATCTAGACTTTAAAAAGAAAGAAATGAGCTCTGCCCTCCTCACTTCCAAGCTGGGCAGGGAGGAACAGAGGAACAAGAGCCTCTTCCTTTGTCTAGGCAGTATGGTTCATAAAGCACTTGGTGAAAGCTGGGTCTGCCCAGGAAAACAGAAATCCCTCTAGGTCTTTGAAAAGAGGAACTTAATACAGGGGATCAGTTGATGAAGCTACAGGAGCGCAGAGGAATTCAACAGGAAACAGTGGAAAAGCAGAGATTAGCCACAGCAGGAAGCCACAAACACACCAGGGCCCGTGAAGACAGTGGGAGCAGAGGGTGGGACCAGGGGCCAAAACCAGGTCTCCTGCAGATACTGAAACTGCGAGATGGCCCCATGGGAGCTGGGACCATAAGGCAGGGGCTGCGTGGCAGAAGCTGGAGCCTTGAAGGGAACACAGCCACTGCTGAGATGCAAGAGCAGAGGGAGAGAGTAAAGCAGTAGGGAATTTCCTCCCCTCCCTCCAGTTTTCCACCAGGCCTCCCGTGGCATGCCTCCCAAGGTCAGTGGTAAAGAAGCCGTGAAATGTAGTTCCTTACAATCAAAAGAGGTGCACAGGAAGGGCTGGGGTGGATCTGAGGCACACCGGGCACCCAGTCTTTCCTTTCACCCTGGTTACAGACCAGGAGGACTGAGATGAAGATCAAAAGGTTAGATGGCCATCCCTCAGTAAACACCAGCTTAGCCCCTCTGGCACCATCACACCCTTGGAAGTGAGACAGGAGATAGCTGGGCCGCTGAGCAGCTGGAGCTTGTCTCCTGCAGACATTTCAAGGGAAAGATAAAGGCAGGAACAGAGAGGAGCTGAGCTCTGCCTGAGTAAAAAGATAAGACGACCACATTTTTCATTCTTGAGGTCAAGGAGACCTCCCCGACTACACATGCGCAAAAAAAGGTTCCTCAGGAGTCAAAAAAGGGAGGGGGTGCTAGCCCCATAGTACGTCCTGACAGCCTCCCAGAGCCCTCGCACTGGAATCCATCTTGGCTAAAAGACGTGCGCCCACGTCGGGGAGTGCCCTGAGTCAGCCCAGATATGGGCACAAAGCCAGATGAAGCAAGATGATTGGCTAGAGGAAACCCAGAAAACTGCCCCCATATAAACAGTTTAAGCCACCCCCAAAGCACGTGACTCTCCGAGCCCCCTCGTGTGTCTTTCCACACGTACTTGTTTTCTAATAAACACTTTACCTGCTTCACTACCTTCTGTCTCCTTGTTGAATTCTTTCTTCAGAGAAGACAAGGACCAAGGTCCTGTTTCAAGCCCGCTGGCCCTCGTGGTCTAGGCGTTAAGATGCCCGGTTTTCACCGAGGCGGCCCGGATTCAATTGGCAGTCAGGAAACTAAGATCCTGCTTCAAGTGGCCGCACCTGTGGCCCCCACCCCCGCCCCGCCCCGCCCCGCCCCACCACGCCCGAGCTCAGAACGGGGAGCAAGGATATGCTCTGAGGTGGGGATGAAAGAAGATCCCACAAAGACTTTGGGAGATCCCAGGGCAAGGGCTGAGAGGTCCACAGTGCGAGTTCGCTCAGGCTGGACTCCTAGGATGGGTGGGTTCTGGGGTGTAAGAGTTATGGTGTCTTGGACAGCAGCAGAAATTTAAACCCTCAAGTTCCATTAGAGGACCTGGGCTAGAGGTGGTCCATGTTACAGTGGAGGGAGAGAAATTAGACCGGGGCTTCCAGCTGTGTAAAGGTGCTTTTTTTTTTAACCATGTCATGGGCTTGCATTGGACAACCATTTGTTATTTGAACCCCTAATGCTTTGCACTCTAACGAAATTGTCCCCCCACTTTGTAAGGCTGGTGGTGGGTGTGCTGCTGTGAGCTGAGCTAGCTTACTGCTTATGAGTCCAGGTGGGCTGGGGCCAGAGTCCAACACCACCGTCTACAGTCCTGGCCGTGGACACCTTATTGAACCTTTCAGGTTCCTCTCCTGGAAGATGGGGGTGCTGACACCTACCTCGCAGAGAGCCGTTGTGAGGACTACGTGAGACAGCGAACTTGGCAACAAAGCACTTAGCACAGAGCTTGGCTCCCAGAAAGGGCTCAGATAATGGCAGCACTGGTCTGCGGGTGAGACAAGGCTCTCACAGCCTTACCAGGATCACCCACCCACCAGGACCCCTGGATGCTCTGATCCTGGGCTGGGCCAGTGAGAACACACAGCAAAGAACAGTCTCCTTGTCACCTGCCTTCACAGCTGGGCAGTAAAAGGTTGAAGGCAGCCAATCGCCTTCCCAGCCTGTGGCTCCTTAGTCACAAAAAACAAACAAATCACAGCCTGTCAAGTCCCAGAAGCGAGCGAGATCGGAAGAATGCACATTGCCTGGCAAAATGTACCACCTTCAGCTGCCCATGGAAGTCCTGCTATGTTGAGAAAGAAAGTCAAAGGCCCTCGCGGAGACGGGAAACCTGACGCCCCTTCCCACTGTCGAGGGGTCCGGGCTGGGTACTGTGGGGGACAGGTGGGGTGAAGGAGCAGTCAGGGCGCCGGTGGTAATGGACAGACGCCTCTGAAAGTCACGGGTCGCCGTCTGTCCTCTGTGGGCAGCGCAGGAGCCAGGAGGGCCTCCCTGGACCCGGCGACCACAGGGAGGGCAGAGGCTAACGGAGGGGGTTCGCTACTGGTTATCTCAGGGACTGGGGGACCAGCACACAGGGGTGGCAGAGGCAGGGGAGGGGGAACGGGGCGAGAGGGTCCTGAGCTCTGTGGCAAGACCCAGGGGGTGAGTCGGACAAACAGCAGTGAAGGTCACAGGTACGGGTCAGCCCTTCACTCACCCGAGTGGGTGCCCAAGGCGGCCTGTAAAGATACACAGCTTCCTCTAAGCCTCCTGCAGACGCGAGTGGCTCCTGGAGGGACCTGCTCAGCGTCTTCTGGGCTTTTCAGCCATGACTTCAGGACGGGGTTTTCTTTCCTTCGAGTGGATTCACACAACGCCCCATTCCACTCCCCACCGCTGTCAGGGTGCAGTCGCAGCAGCTCTGCAGTTCTGTGTATTGTCAAGATAATGACCCTTCAAGAAAGAAAGAAAGAAACTACCGTTCTTGGAGGGATGGAGAAAGAGGCCAGAGGAGAGAAAGCTCTAGAAACTCCAAGGAGGGCCACGGTCTCTGGCCAGGGTGAGATAGAGCTTCAGCAAAGGGCAGAGGCAGGAGCACAGAGCATATTCTGGAGACAGTAAGTCTTTCTGTGTGTCTGGAATGGTGCGCCGGGGAGGTATCTTCTATCCACGGGTATATATTGGATTAATGATAACACGTAACACACGTAATCCAGGCTTTACCGATATTTGTTCCCTTGAATTTGGGGGGAAGAATCTGAGCTTCATCTGACTGAATCAACAGTCAAATGGTGACCCCCAGGCATTCTTGGTGAGGTGGGACCATGGTGGCTCAGCAGCGGGGGCCCTGGACGACAGTCCCTTATCACAGGGTCACAGGGGTGACAGGCCTCATGGGCCAGCCTGATTCAGTGAGCGCTGACAAAGATTCTTTGCTTGACCAAACTTCAGTCAGGTTCCCAAACCTTCTCCAAGCCCATCTCTGCACTTGCTTGTAAAATACAGTTTCAGCAAGCATCAGCTCCCCTAACCTCAATATCTGATCAGGTTCCTCATCCCCTCGTTTCCCAGGTGGTATCTGATCACCCCTGGCCTGCCTTCAGCAAGAATCCTGTTAGTCTGGTTTAGCCAGAGTTCCCTCTTAGTCCTGATGTAGGAATTTTCCACACACTGACTCCCACCCTGATCCTTGGCTACAAATTCCCACTTGCCTGTGCGGTATTCAGAGTTAAGTCCAGTCTCTCTCCCGCTGCAGAATCCCATTGCAGTGGTCTCTCTACCTATCGCCATGGTCCTGAATGAAAGCTGCCTTACGATCTTTGATAAACAGCGTGAATCATTTTTTCTTTAACAGGCCCACCTGCCTCCCCACTCGTCCCCCACCTGTCACCACCAGCCACAAACACTGATTTCCCTCCCCTCTGGCCACACCTGTGGGTCTGATGGGAGGCCCCCAGCTTGGCGCTGCTCTTGCCGATGAAAGCACTTCTCCACCTCTGCCCCTGGCACCTGAAAGTTGCCATGGTGGTGCCTTTCCACAGGTACAATGCCGCAAATTGGGCCCTGCCCCCGAAATATATTCTATACCATACAAATACTAAAAGTGGTCACAAAAGTACATTATGATAAAATATAAACAGATGCTTTAACAGACATTTGTTAAGTGAAATTGACTATTTAATATACAAGCTGCCATGAATAGTATCTTAGGCAGAGTTTTTTGCCTAGACCAAATTGGCCGACACTGTTCCTTTTTTTTTTTTTTAAGTTAACAGGAAATATAGAAGTTTTCCTGCACTTCTTCCTCTTCCTCATTCCCTTCCTCTCAGTTCAAGCTGAAAGCCCTCAGGTAGGGCAGAGCAAGGTGGAAGGAAGTCATGGTGACTCAGGGCAGTATGGGAGAGCCCAGTCGGGGTCTGGAGGATGTCCGGTGAGGGCACAGCACAGCACGGGATTTCTGAGCCCAGGTGACATGAGGGCATCAGAGGGAAGTCTGAGGCAGGAGAGTGGCTACATACATACGTGGATATATTAAGAGAAAGGGATGCCAGGTTTCTCACTGACAGAAAAGAAAGTTACAAATAAGGAAGGAAAAAATAAAATGAATCCTGCGGTGCTGAAACTGACTGTCAGTGTGAACTCACGTTGTCATATATATAGGAATAAAGACAGAGATAAATATAGATGCAAATGTTTGTGTGTGTGTAGATAAAAGTACATATAGGGCTTCCCTGGTGGCGCAGTGGTTGAGAGTCCGCCTACCGATGCAGGGGACACGGGTTCACGCCCCAGTCGTGGAAGATCCCACATGCTGTGGAGAGGCTGGGCCCGTGAGCCATTGCCGCTGAGCCTGCGCGTCCGGAGCCTGTGCTCTGCAACGGGAGAGGCCACAACAGTGCGAGGCCTGCATGCCGCAAAAAAAAAAAAAAGAAAAGAAAAGTACATATATATATATTCCCTAACCCTGGCCACACCTGGAAGCAGTGGTACCACAAAAGCAATGAGCCCACTTAACTCCCCAATCTTGGCTTTTTAATATAATTCCCAACTGAAAGAAACCAGGGCTCCTTAGAGAAATGGCTGATTCCAGGGCTGGGGCAGGGAACCTACAAGATGAGCCTGGGATATCTTATTGTGCCAGAAAGTAGGAAAGTGCCCAAAGAACAATAGGGATACGTCAAAAGGACTTTGGCCTACAGGTCAAATCTGAGACAATTTTAGCATCAAAATAGATGATAGTGTCAATGCCTATAGTTGAACCAGTTGGGTTTACTACTCATTACAGTGAGGGCAAATGCATACCATAAGTAACCATAGGGTATCTCAGTAAGAGGATGTCAGAAACTATTACAGGATCCGGCTTTTGTTTTGGAGGGTTTGGGGAGAGTCCAAGAACATGGGGTTTGCTCTGAATCACATACTGTCAGGAAGCAGAGACATTTCTATGATTGGTGCCTCAACAAATCTTATCTACAGGGAGGGCAGACTAGAGCAGGGATCAGGCTGTAACAGTCAAGAAGAAGCAGTCACTCATATTAGCCGGGAGAGAGGGATATTTGGTATTTTGTGGGTTGCGTCTTGCTTTTGTCTATGCCTAGACAAAATTATTAAGTGGCCTTGTTTTGTATCAATTTGCCATGGTCTCAAAGTGTCCTTGTCTGATGTTGGTGCTCTGTGAGATGATTTTTGTCCGACAGAAGAGGATACGTGGCCTAGTTTGAGCACCAGGCCAGCTTTGAACAGTGACGCCCAGCTGAAAGCATCACACCAGGTCCTAGATCTCAGGAATGCCTTTTTCTTTATCAATAATAATGACATAACTTATCGGACAAAATAAGACTCTATGAATCCATATAGATATAAAGTAACTGATTAACTAAATTAGGAATATGATGAGAAATTTCTTTAAATTAATAGACTTTGTTTTAGAGCAGTTTTAGGTTTATGGGAAAATTGAACAGAGTACAGAGTTCCCATATATTTCACACACACACACAGAGTTTCTGCTATTATTAACATCTTGTATTAGTGTGGTACATTTGTTACAATTTATGAGGTAATATGACTCATAAACCAAAGTCTATAGTTTATGTTAGAGTTCACTCTTTGTGTTGTACATTCTGTGGGCTTTGATGAATGTGTAATGAATGTATCCACCATTACAGTATCAGCAGAATAGTTTTACTGCCCTAAAATCCCCTGTGCGCCACCTGTTCTTCCCTCATTCTGAACCCTGGCAACCACTGGTCCTTTTACTCTCTCCCTAGTTTTGCCTTTTCCAGAATGTCATATAGTTAGAATCATACAATATGTATTCTTTTCAGATTGGCTTCCTTCACTGGGCAATATGCTTTGAAGTTTCCTCATTGTCTTTTTATGACTTTATAGCTTATTTATTTTTATTGCTGAATAATACTCCATCGTATGGATGTACCATTTGCTTATCCATTTACTTATTAAAGGATATCTTGGTTGCTTCCAATTTTGGGCAATTATGAATACAGCTGCTATAAGTATATGCAGGTTTCTGCATGGATACGTTTTCGACTCATTTGGGTAAATACCAAGGAGTACAATCACTGGATCGTATGGTAAGCCTATGTTCAGTTTTGTAGGAAACTTCCAGACTGTCTCCTAAAGTGGTTGTACTGTCTTGCATCCCCACTAGCAATGAATGAAACGTGATAATTACATGTGTTGTGATATTCTGGATGGGATCTTGGAACAGAAAAAGAACATTAGGCAAAAACCAAGGGAATCTGAATAAAGTGTGGACTTTAGTTAATAATGTATGCATAGTTAATAATGTATGCATAATAATAATAATAAATAATACTGATGCACTGGTTGTGACAAATGTACCACAGGAGTGTAAGATGTTAAAACAGGGGAAACTCGGTACAGGGTACACTGAATTCTCACACTATCTTTGAAATTTTTTTGCAAATCTAAAACTATTCTGAAACAAGATGTTTATTTAAATATTTTAAAAAGAAATGGCAGAATATCACCGTATACCCCAGGGAATGAATACAGGCATTAAGCATCAGTGACTGCTATGATCACAAAAAGAGAGACAACCAGACATTATGTGTTTCCTGCTGTCTTGCTAAAAGAATTTAACTTGAATCTGGTCCAATTTCTGGCTCCAGCTGTCAATTTGTAGGAAATGCAGAAGACAGAGGAACATGTTGCTTTGTACCATAACCAACAGAATCCATTATCACCTATCAATAGTGAAAGAAACTTCAAAATGAAAAACTAGGAAAGAGAATGTAGCAACATACGAAAAAACAATACCCCACCATCACCATCTATTTTTAAAGACTAAAAAGAAAGAAGAGGTTAAAAATAAACAAAAAAGCAGACTCAAAATTAATTTCATTTAGGGATGATATAGATATATACCTGGAAAAACCAAAATAATCAACTGAAAACTGTTAGAAATAAGAGAATTCAGCAAACTGGTTAAAAAACTTAGTAAACAAAATGATTGCTTTGCTACATGCAACAATAACTAGCTAACAAACATAAGAGAACAAAAGATTCCACTTCAAAATGACATAAAACAAAGTAAACATTGCTGAGAATAAGATTATTAAAAATGTGCAGTATGCAGAAAAATTTTAAACTCTATTGACAAAACTGAGAGGACAATTAAATAAACGGAAAGACATCCTGTTCAAGATCAGAAAATCTACCCTATAAAGGTGTCGATTCTCCCTAATTTTATCTACAAGTTTAATGTGATCCCAATAAAAATAGCATCAGTTCAACATCCAAATAATAGGAATTTCAGAAAGGACAAAGAAAACAGCCGGAAAAAGTTAGCAAAGAAAAATACAGTTTCTTGAGCAAAACATTCTAGATTGAAAGGGACTTTTGAATTCTTAGTATAATAAATAGAGAAAAAAGACCCACACCAAAGCATATGATTAAGAAATTATAGAACA